TTGGCAAAATGTAAACAACTACAATCATACAATTCCTCTCACCATCCTAGCACTCAATATAAAAATAACACGCATTCGCAATCGACAAACTTAATGATAGAGGTACCAGACATGCAATTACAGACACAAAATCCATTAATTAGAGGCACACCAATGTACCGAAATTGTTATCTTATGTCAGACATATCCACTCAAACAGATACCCTAGTAACAAGCACCATGATAATTGAAAACGAAATAGAAACACCAGTCGTAGATGAGATAGATAACGATTTAATGAAATCACAACTTAGGGAAAAACTACAAACCGCTATCTTACAATATGCTGGAATAGACCCAACAGTGCGACCTAAACTCCCAAAGCTTAAATATAGCAGACAACTCTTAAAACTAATACACATATTTAATAACAACATTTTGAGTCAATACATACATGAGACCTCAAAAATTACTGATATTCACACAATTATTTACTGTACTGCATTTGTAATATCTCAAGAATTAGGATACAAAATTACTAATAATGATAATAATGATAGGCTCACAAAACGTAAACAGGATACTACACCAATCTGGCAGATTCGATTACAAAGAGATATAAATAAGTTACGCTCAGATATAGGTAAACTAACACAATACATTTTTATGAACAGAAGATCTAAGAAGATAGTGGATAGAGTTACAGCGATATTTAAAAACACAAGTTTACACACAAGACATGAAAGCAACAATAGCAGACCGGAAGAATTCCTTGATACCCTAAAGCAAAAATTAGCCCTTAAATGTAATAGACTTAAAAGATATAAAAAATCACTACAGAGAAAGCAGGACAATAATTTATTCATAAATAACGAAAAAATGTTTTACAGAAATTTAAATGCAGGCTTAAGAAACACAACAGCAGACAACATAGATAGACAACACCATGATACACCGAACAAAGAGGAGTTAGAATCCTTTTGGTCAAATATTTGGGAGACTCAAGTCACTCACAATACAGAAGCGAAATGGATATTAGAAGAAAAAGCTCGATGGGAAGCAATAGAGGAAATGAAATTTGAGGAAATTACACCTGAAGATATAAGAAACATAACATATAAATTACATAATTGGAAATCGCCTGGTATAGATAAAATTCATAACTTTTGGTACAAAAAATTAGAAATCTTACATAAATGTATAGCTAAAAACTTAACAGAAATTATATATCGAAAACAAGATTTACCCCAGTTTATAACTAAAGGAATAACACATATGCTTCCTAAAGGCCAAAATTCATTACAACCATCTCAATATAGACCTATAACATGCTTACCTACAATTTACAAAATACTTACATCAGCAATCACTTACAAAATCAGAACACACGCAGAGACACATAACATAATTGCTGAAGAACAGAAAGGATGTCGGCGCGGCCACATGGGGTGCAAAGAGCAACTGATAATTGATTCAGTTATTCACAAACATGCAGCTACCAAGAAACGAAATCTACATTGTACTTTTATAGATTATCAAAAGGCGTTCGATAGCATACCTCACTCCTGGTTAATTGAAGTACTTAAAATTTATAAAATTAATAACAGTCTAATTGAATTCCTTAAATTCATAATGCCACGTTGGAAAACTACCCTTTATCTTAATAGTCATCCTAACACTATAATTACCAGAGAAATATCGATAAAAAAAGGCATCTATCAAGGTGACTCTTTGAGCCCTTTATGGTTTTGTCTTGCTCTTAACCCTCTGTCTCATATCCTAAACATTCAGGGCACAGGATATCACCTTAAACATGGTAACACCGATACATCAATAACTCACTTAATATACATGGACGACATTAAACTATATACAAAAACCTACAAAGAAATGGACAAACTAATAAATGTTACTGCTGAATTTAGCCGAGATATCAATATGAAATTTGGATTAGACAAATGTAGGACCCTCCATATAATAAAGGGTAAGATACATACAGGAGATTACGCAATAGATGACAATGAAAATCAGATAATAACAGCCATGGAACCGAATGACGTTTATAAGTATCTGGGATTTCACCAGCTCAAAAGCTTAGATCACAGAACAATAAAAGAAAACCTCATTAATGAATATAAAAGAAGATTAACTAACATCTGCAAAACTAAACTGTCTGGAAAACACCTAATAAAAGCTGTGAATACTTACGCCATACCAGTACTTACCTACTCATTCGGTATAGTAAAGTGGAGCAAAACCAATATTTATTCTATAGAGAGAACCACACGATCAATATTAACAAAACACAACTACCACCACCCAAAATCGGCTATAGAAAGGTTAACAATAAAGAGATACAACGGAGGCAGAGGACTCATAAATATACAAAACCTATGGCAAAAACAAGTACACGGATTGCAAAATTTCTTTTATCAAAAATCTCATACGAGTGAAATACACAAAGCAGTCCAATGTAATGACCTCAATTATACACCACTAAACTTACATCAAACTACTTTACAAAGACCCCATAATTTAGTTACAAACCCAGAGCAAATTTTAAAAGAAGCATGGAAACAAAAAGTACTGCACGGCCGACACTATCATGACCTGGAACAACCCTTAATTGATAAAGCTGCGTCAAATCAATGGTTAAAAATAGGTTCTTTATTCCCCGAAACTGAAGGTTTTATTATCGCAATTCAAGACCAAGTTATAAATACTCGAAATTACAGGAAATATATCATTAAAGACCCCACTGTATTAGATGATAAGTGTCGAAAGTGCCACATACATTCTGAAACCATTCAGCATATAACTGGAGCATGCCCCCATCTCGCCCAAACCGATTACACTCATAGACATAACCAGGTAGCTAATATCATACATCAAACTCTTGCTATTCAACATAACCTCATACAAGACACTATTACACCTTATTATAAATATATCCCAAGCACCGTTCTAGAAAATACAACACATAAGTTATACTACGACCGCGCCATTCTAACTGACAAAACAATACATTATAATAGACCAGACATTACACTACAAGATAAACTTAATAAAATCACATACCTCATTGATATAGCTATACCTAACACACATAATATTACAAAGACAATTACAGAAAAAATCCACAAATATACAGATCTCCAAGACGAAATTAGCAGAATTTGGAAACAAGAAAAAGCATACATAGTACCGATTGTGTTATCAACCACAGGAGTTATCCCAAAACATCTTCACCACAGCCTGAAACTATTAAATATAAAAGAGAATAAATACATACAATTACAGAAAGCCGCCATATTAAATACGTGCCGCATTGTGAGAAAATTTTTACAAATAGATGAAAACGAAGTTGCGCCCAATATCCCAGAACACACTACTTAATAAAACGCCCATATGCTTTTTACTTGGTGAACACCCGTAATTAGCATTAATAACGGCCGCAAGGCTAGAAAAAATAAAGATATAAAAATAATAATAATAATAAGTAGGCGTAGGGAAGTGACGACCCCATCGCCCGCTGACGTAACGGTTATGTGACAAAACTGCTACGTCAGCGCAGTCAGTCAGCACCTTGCCAAGAGGTGTTAGCGCCGTGCCTCGGCAAAATTGGAGGTGCAAAGGCCCGATTGTGCACATGGCCTCACCATGAAACGGTGCCGGGTCTGGGCGTCTCCCGTTAACTGACGCCCAAGTAATGGATGATGGAACTAAGAAATACGCGCAAAGGGCCGCTGCCTGGAGGTCGCCAGGGCGCGTCTGGAGCTGGCGCTGGACGCGGCAGCATGCGAACCGCCAGTCGAGCGCGAGGTGCTGCACGATCACCCAGCAGCCCCTCGCATCCATCATCCCCACCAGCTGGCTTGGTGTTGGCAGGGTCTTCGTTGGCCCAGCAATCAGCACCCGCCACTGGTGGAGTACGCCGCATGCGTTGGTCAATGCAAATGAATAAAAATGCATTGCGGGCGTATTTTGGGGCGAAAGGGAGAGAAATTGGAGGTTTTGGGTATCGGGCTAGGATGCACCGACTATTTGCTGAGCTGGAGCCATCTATTACCGTTACCGAGCAAAATCTGGCAGACCGAGTTCGGTACATCATGCGCTCAAAAATATTTGATGACGCCGAACTCGAACGGCTACGACGTGAGGCTATTCCTTTGTCGAATGAAAATGCTACGACAGGAGATGCGGCTCTACGAGTTGCAGAGCAACCCGCACATGTAGATGCCGCCGTTGATCTCCTTGTAGTTGACTCAGGCGACGATGGAATAGTCGCCCCAGAACTAGAGCAAATGAGGAGCATAGTGGAAGAGGCGATTAGGGAAACGCGCAGTACGCCTCTCGAGAATCGACCGCGACTTCCCCGTATACCCCTAAGCAAGCGGAATCGGGCTGTCGTGAGGGCTCTCAACCCAATGCTGGTGACCTATTTGGAAGCCAGCCGGGACCTTTGCGAGACGGACTCAATTCTTTTTGGCGCCGCACTGGCAGTTTGCCGTATTATTGGCGCCAAACTTCCCAAGGCTGGACGCGCTACTAGACAAAGTAGCGCCATCCCAGCCTGGAGAAGAAGAATTGAGGACCGTATCGCAAAGGCAAGGGCCCTCATCGGCAGGCTGATAAGCTTCAGGTCGGGCAATAATAGGCCGAGAATTGTGCGCACCGTCAGGATGGCGTTTGCTGGGACAAACATCAGTTTGTCCCAGCCGGATATAACGCAAAAACTGACGGAGCGCATAGACGACCTGAAGCATAGAATCGCTGCTTGGGGGAAGCGGATTCGGCGATATACCGAGAGGTCAACACGGTTCAACCAGAATCGTCTCTTCCAGAGTGATCAGAAGAGGCTCTATGAATCATTGGAGCGATCAATGGTACGTGGAACGGGCCCAGCACCGAATCAGGCCGACACTATCGCATTCTGGCGCGGCCTGTGGTCAGAGCCCGTAAACCACAGTGAGGGCCCTTGGACGGAAGTTGTGGCGAGTCAGTGTGCGAATGTTACGCCCATGGACCCCGTCATCATTACGCCGGATGACGTAGCTGAGGCGGTCCGTAGGGCCCCGAACTGGAAAAGTCCGGGACTCGACGGACTGCATCACTACTGGCTGAAGGGGTTCGTGGTGTGTCACGCTGTTCTCGCCCGACAGTTTCAAGAGGCTCTCGACCAAAAGTCGCTCCCGAGCCTCTTCACTACTGGGATCACTCATCTGGTTCCTAAAGACCGAGATTCCACAGACCCGAGCAAATACCGCCCCATAACGTGTCTACCTACCATATACAAGACACTCACATCCATTTTGAGCGCGAGAATCACTCGTCACCTGAACTCAAATCAGGTGATGTCGCGCGCTCAAAATGGATGTCGGGGCGGTGGTCGTGGAACCAAGGAACCACTCCTCATTGACGCGGTCATTGGCAAAGTGGTTAAACGCAACCGTCGGAACCTCTCCGCCGCCTGGATAGACTACAAAAAGGCATTCGACTCGGTGCCTCATACATGGCTGAAGAGGGTCCTCGAGCTGTACAAGGTTGACTGTACAGTTCGAGACTTCCTCGGGCAGTGTATGGGGCAGTGGAGTACGATCCTTTGTCATCTAGGCGAGCGGATGACGGCTGCGGAGAACCACATAAGGATAAGAAGGGGTATCTTCCAGGGCGATTGTCTGAGTCCAATCTGGTTCTGCCTCTCTCTGAACCCTCTTAGTACCTTACTGGAGGGTTCCGGGAGGGGATTTCAGCTTCGGAGAGGAGGTACAAAAGTGACCCACCTTTTCTATATGGATGATCTCAAGTTATTCGCCTCCAGTCGCTCTCATCTTATGGAATTGCTAAACATCACTTGTGATTTTAGCAATTCTATTAGAATGGAGCTGGGGACGGATAAGTGTGCGATCCTCCATGTCGAAAGGGGTAGGGTTGCTAACTCTGAGGGCATAGACTTATCTATGCCCATCAACATAAAGACCCTATCCGAGGCTGAAACATACCGATACCTGGGTATGTCACAAAACATAGGTATCGATGAGGCGGACATGAAACGGTCAGTTTGCGGTGTGTTTTATGCACGCTTGACAAAAGTGCTCAACAGTCTTTTGTCGGGCGTTAATAAGACACATGCATATAACGGTTGGATCATGCCTGTTCTCATGTATACCTTTGGCATGCTCAGGTGGACTCAGACCGAACTGAACGCTCTGGACAGAAAAGTCCGCACTATAATGACGTCCCACAGGATGCATCATCCGAGATCGTCAGTAATGAGGCTGTACTTGCCGCGGAAGCATGGTGGGCGCGGCTTTTTAAGCGCGCTTACCATGCATAATCGCGAAGTGTGCAGCCTCCGTAATTACTTTCTGACGAGAGCGGATGATCCATTCTATAGGGACGTTATTTCTTGTGATAAAGGACTTACCCCTCTATCCTTAGCCAACGAGCAATGGCAAGACCCGGCAGTACAGAGCATTTCCGACCGGGAGACCGTATGGAAGGAAAAGGAGCTCCACGGGAGGTTCTACAAGGCTCTACATGAGCCTTGCGTAGACACAGTCGCCTCCCTTCACTGGCTACGTTTCGGTGACCTCTTTGGGGAAACCGAGGGTTTTGTCTGTGCGATACAGGATCAGGTTATTAAGACCAACAATTATCGGAGATACATCCTAAAGGATGGCGCCGTCGACATCTGTCGAGCTTGTCGCCATCCCGGTGAGTCACTTAGGCATGTCATCTCCGGTTGTTCGGCGCTTTCTAACTCTGAGTATTTGCACAGACACAACCTAGTAGCCAGGATTCTACACCAGGAGCTCGCTCTGAAATACGGTCTCGTGGATCGGAAACTGCCATATTATAATTACTTGCCGGAAGCCGTGCTCGAAAATGACCGCGCCAACTCTACTGGGACCGGGCCATCATCACGGACAGGACTATTCTTGCGAATAAGCCTGATATTGTGCTGATGGACCGGGCACAGTCAAGGATATTTTTGGTCGACATTACCATTCCTTATGACGAGAACCTCGTGAAAGCCGAAACAGATAAGTTGACAAAATATCTGGACCTGGCTCACGAGGTGACCGACATGTGGGGTGGTCTGCCGGCCGAAATTATTCCTGTGGTCGTCTCTGCGAACGGGTTAATCCCAGTCAGCCTCTCGGGTCATCTGAGGCGACTGGGACTCCGTGACGGATCGCTCCAAGCTCAAATGCAGAAAGCGGTGCTCCTCGATACCGCCCGCATCGTCCGCCGGTTTCTTTCCCTTTCTCCCTAACCCTCGGCCGTTTGGTCTCCCCTGCCGAGGGCTTCCATCTGGTTGGGTTTTTATATATTTATGTAATTTTTATGTATTTATTTTATTTTATTGATATTTATGTAAGTTTATCATTTTCATTTACAATTATATATTTATACAGCCCAACCAGATGAGAAAACTATACAAATACCCCATAATAATAATAATAATAATAATAATAACATGATGATGACAATTACAAATATCTTGGTTTACTCCAAACTCTTCGAACCGACCACAAGGAAATAAAATCTCGGATATGTAAAGAATACTACCGTAGGCTCAAAGAAATTCTCAGAACGGGTCTTAAGAGCAAAAACATCTTCAAGGCAATCAACACTTTCGCAATGCCAACAATAACTTACACCTTCGGAATTGTAAAATGGACAGACACCGATATCGGGAATATTGAGAGAACTACCCGTGTATTATTGACAAAATATCGGTTCCATCATCCTAAATCCGCTACTGAACGAGTAACTTTGCCAAGAGCTGAAGGGGGAAGAGGTCTCATTGACCTAAGGCGGCTTTATTCCAAGCTAATAAAAAACTTGCAAAATTACTTTCTCAGCAAAGAGTCGTCTCCCTTACACCAAACAGTTACTTTAGCGGATAATGGCTATACTCCACTAGATCTTCTTCATTCTAAAGAAGTTGAGCCCTTGGTTGCTGATGCCGAATACCTTAAGGCCAAACTTAACCAGTGGGCCTCAAAACCACTACATGGAAGGTTTGCCCACGAGCTTAGAGGCCCTCACGTTGATATTGCAGCGTCGACCTGTTGGTTGCGCCGCGGGGAACTGTTTGCAGAAACTGAGGGTTTTATGATAGCAATACAGGATCAAGTAATTCCGACAAAGAATTACCTAAAATACATAGCCAAAACAAATGTCGAAGATGACCTATGCAGACGATGCTATCAGAAACCTGAAACGATCCAACATATCACGGGTTCGTGCCAGGCTCTTGCTGCATCAGAATACACTCAGCGTCATAACGATGTCGCCAAAATAATCCATCTAGCACTGGGCCGAAAATATGATCTATTGAAGGATGACAATCCGTACTGGAAATATTCCCCTAGTCCCGTGCTGGAAAATGACAACATTCAACTATATTGGGATAGATCAGTCCTAACAGACCGGTCCGTCCCCCATAATCGGCCAGATATTATAATTCTTTATAAAAAGGAGAAACGGGCTTGTCTGTTAGACATTGGGGTTCCTAACTCGCATAATGTTCAGCAATATATAATGAAAAAAAAGACAAAATACCAACCGCTTGCTGAAGAAGTGAGACAAATGTGGCTTCAGGATGAAGTAGAAGTCCTTCCCCTCATAATCTCAACTACAGGAATAATACCGCAGCAGCTTAATGAAAATCTTGCTAAGCTAGACCTACCAATGTCCGTTAGGAACAATATTCAAAAAGCTGTTATCCTAAGGACAACTGCCATTGTGAGGAAGCATCTTGCCCTATAAAACACAACCTCTTTGCATCTTGCTAAAAGCCGATCTAAGAGTTGTAAACCCAAAAGGAGAAAAAAATAAATAAAAAATAATAATAACCCCCCGTGGGACCACCTTGCCGTGGTGGGGGGGCTTAAGACATCCCGTAGTGACTTTTCAGATGCAAATAACACCTTGCAATTACAATGATGTCGAACTAACGGTCCCGACCCGTATAGATTTATTATGGAGAGAAGATTAAGAAATCGTATAATTGGGCCGTTTCCCGGGGGCGATCGCCGGGGCGCACCTGGAGCCGATGCTGGGTGCTCCAGCATGCGAACCATCGGCGGTGAGGAGTTGAGCAGGCGGGCTCCCACCGATAAAAATATTACAGCCGATTCTAAGAGATCAAAGCGAAATTGTCATCTGTCACGTTGTATAACATCACCTTCTTTTGTAGATAAACCAGCTATGGATGTTGCGCAGGCGGCTAACGTCTTATTTCCTGCGTCCACCAAAGCCGGTAAAGAAAGAGTACGCATGAAATGGGATGATGATATTAACTGTTTTATCATGCGTACTTACTATTTAGTAACGAAATTAGAGACAGATTTAACTATGTACAGAAGGAAAATGTATAATAATTTCATATTAAAATATCCGAACTTAAATGTTTCTGAGCAAAGAATTGCAGATCAAAGAAGAACCATAATAACACATAAACTGCTTGCAGATGATATTCTGAAAACAATTCAGACCGAAGTAGCTACAATGCTCAAATCAGACAATTCCCTACAAAATGCAAGCATTGTTGATTCATCTAATAGCAAACAGATACTCCAATTCTCACAAAACACTGAACCTACATCCGGCACACTAATATTAACAACACTTAAACATACACCTGAAGCGACACAAGTTATAACACAAAATTCGACCACAACACAAACTCCTTTAAACAATATAATGCCTGCAGATACAATAAACGACTTTCAAGAATACGACAGTAGTAAAATAATAGATAATCTAATGGACTCATTGAAAGAATCTCTTTTAAAATACTCAGGACTAGACCCAGCATTGAGACCAAAATTACCTAAACTACATGAAGGAAAACGACTTATAGATATAATAACACTTTTTAATCAAAAAATATTAATAAACTTTTTCAATGAAGATTCCAATATAATAGACATACATAATTTGATATACTGTTCGGCCTTAGTTATTAGTAAAGAGCTAGGTTACAAAAGCTACTATAATACAACAAATTATAGCAAACAACAAAAGGAAACAAAAAAGCCGTTTTGGCAAACACGACTACAAAGAGATATAGAAAAACTAAGAGCAGAAATAGGTAGAGTCAGGCAATATATTAGAGGAAATAGGTCCAGAAAACTAGTTTCAAAAGTAAAACTTATTCTAAAAAATAATCAAAAACACACTAAACACGAGAGATTAAATGCAAACGCAGAAGAAGTTTTAGACACATTAAAACAAAAATTAGCCCTTAAAGTTCACAGGCTTGACAGATACTTTAAATCATTACGGCGTAAAGAAGATAACAAAATGTTTAAAGTAAATGAAAAATTATTCTACAGAAATTTAAAACAGAATTTGAATAACCCTCAACCAGATACACACAATTCTAACTTTCCAACCGCAGAAGAACTTAAATCCTACTGGAGTAGTATTTGGGAATCAGACATGGGACACAATACTGAATCTTTATGGATTACAAAAGAAGAGCAAAAGTGGGATCATATAGCTGAAATGAGCTTTGATGAAATAACTGAAGAAGATATTACAATAATAACAACAAAGCAAAAGAGCTGGAAGTCTCCAGGAGTCGATTCTATTCACAATTTTTGGTACAAGAAATTCTTTATTCTACACAAAATTATAGCAAAAAATTTAACTCAAATAGTATATAGACAACAAGAAATCCCAGACTTTTTGACCCGTGGTATCACATACTTACTACCTAAGGGCTATGATACCGGAAATCCCGAAAAATATAGACCTATCACCTGCCTGTCTACTCTTTATAAAATTTTAACATGTTGTATCGCGAGAAAAATTACCAAACACATTGAAACAAATAACATTTTAGCGGAAGAACAAAAAGGCTGTAGACAGAATCATATGGGATGTAAGGAGCAGTTAATTATTGATTCAACAATAATTAAACATGCTCAAACTAAAAAACGAAACCTTTACTGTACTTACATTGATTATAAAAAGGCATTTGACAGTGTTCCACATTCCTGGCTTATTCAAGTATTAAAATTATACAAAATTAACCCAACTCTGATTAACTTCTTAAGATCAATAATGTCTCTGTGGAAAACTTCTTTACAATTCCAAAATAATCAAATTAAAATAGTTACTGAGGACATTTTCATAAAAAAGGGTATTTTTCAGGGAGATTCATTAAGTCCCATATGGTTCTGTCTCGCTCTCAACCCACTGTCTACCATACTTAGCCAATCTAATTACGGATATATTCTGAAAGATAGAGCTGGATACAGCACCTCTATTAGTCACCTTATTTACATGGATGATTTAAAATTATTTGCTAAGTCTGAAAAGGAAATGAAAATTTTAATAAATCTTACGCAAGAATTTAGCAGTGATATTGGAATGCAATTTGGCCTTGATAAATGCAGAACTGTGAGCATGAAACGTGGAAAATTACATGAACTAAACATAGATACTACAAGTAATGAGATTATAGAATGTCTCGAACCTGGACAATTTTATAAATATTTAGGTATAGAACAAACCAACCAAATAGATCATAAAAGAATTAAGGACAACATTACAAAAGAATACGTGAATAGGGTCAACCTCATCTGCAAAAAGCAACTAACTGCAAGAAACCTGATAAAGGCAATTAACACCTTTGCTATACCCATTTTAACATATTCTTTTGGAACAATTAGGTGGTCCAAAACAGACACAATTAATTTGGAACGAAAAACTCGCACAGTACTCACTAAATTTAGATACTTGCATCCCAAATCAGCTGTTGAAAGATTGACAATTAAGAGAGACAAAGGCGGAAGAGGTCTTATTGATATAACCGTGCTCAGAGAGAACCAAATCATGCGTCTTAAAAACTTCTTCCTTGAGAAGTCAACAAGCAGCAATATCCATAAAGTCATAGTTCACAATGATACTAACTATACTCCACTTAGACTCGCCGCAAACCAAACTCAAGAGACATATAATAAAATTGATCAAGAAAAAGAAAAAATAAAACAATGGAAACAAAAGGAATTACATGGTAGACATGCTAATGACCTATGCCAACAACATATAGATATATCAGCATCAAATAAATATTTAACAATAGGCACATTATTTGCCGAAACAGAAGGTTTTATAAATGCCATCCAAGATCAAGTCATCAGTACTAAAAACTATAGAAAATTTATAATTAGAGAACCAAATCTTTTAAATGACAAATGCAGAAAATGTAATTTAGTACCAGAAACTATACAGCATATCACAGGAGCATGTCAAAACTTAGCATCAACAGATTACACCCACAGGCATAATCAAATTGCAAACATAATACACCAAAAGATAGCCCAGAAACATAAACTCATCGATAACAGTTTACAACCATACTACAAATATAAACCCAACCCTGTGTTAGAAAACACCTCACATAAACTATATTTCGATAGAGCCATACTTACTGATAAGACCATCCATTACAATCGACCCGATATAGTTTTGCAAGACAAACTTAACAACATAGCCTTTCTAATTGACATAGCTGTACCAAATATGCATAATATTCAAAAAACAATAGCCGAAAAGATTAGTAAATATAACGAACTGAGCGAAGAAATAAAAAGAATATGGAAATTAAATAAAGTTTTCATCGTCCCAATTGTACTCTCAGCTACAGGATTAATACCAAAATATTTGCATCACTGCCTTAAGTTATTAGATTTACCCTCAAATTTATATATTAAAATGCAAAAAGCAGTTATTTTAAATACATGTCGCTTAGTGCGAAAATTCTTACAAATCCCAGAAACTGCTCTGGATAATACATTAATAATACCAGCAAATGATGACTACTTGGCTTAAAGCCCGTATCATCATAATACCCTACATGGAGAAAAAAAAGAGAAAAGAAAAAAATAATAATAATAAGGCTAAGGCTATAAGGCTCTGCATGAGACTATTGTAGACACAGTTGCCTCCCTTCACTGGCTACGTTTTAGTGACCTCTTCGGGGAAACCGAGGGTTTTGTATGTGCTATACAGGATCAGGTTATTAAGACCAACAACTATCGGAGATACATCCTAAGGGATGGCACTGCTGACATCTTTCGAGCTTGTCGCCATCCCGGTAAGTCACTTAGGCATTAAAGTTGGTAAAAAAAAATTACTTCGCGTTCATCCGTTCAATAATTGGCATCGATAATCGGATATTGAGCCGAGATGTACGCGAAGTAATTTTTTTTTACCAACTTTTATATAATGGACTTCCGCAAAGTAACGGCTGATTCTATTAAATATCACTTAGGCTTGTCATCTCCGGTTGTTCGGCGCTTTCTATCTCTGAATACTTACACAGGCACAACTTAGTAGCCTTTTTCTAAACCAGGAGCTCGCTTTGAAATACGGTCTCGTGGACCGGAAATTGCCGTATTACAAGTACTTGCCGGAAGCCGTGCTCGAAAATGACCGCGCCAGGCTCTACTGGGACCGGGCCATCATCACATACAGGACTATTCTTGCGAATAAGCCTGATATTGTGATTTTACCCCCGATTAATATACTGAAACTACAATGGCTTTTTTTAACAATCTGGGAAAATTCCTTCACAGAGGCAAGTTCGAAAAGTTTGAGTTAATGTACCACCAACACCTAGGATTTGTCTAAATTTATGTACTAGTAGTTATGCCATCCCAACCAACTGTTCTTGTTTCTTTTAGTCCTTCTACTTTCTACCTCAGTAGAGTCTGTATCTAATAATGCGAAAGAGCTTGATTGGCAGTTTCTTT